GATATACGATAGAATGAATGTAAAACTAATGTTCTCCCATGTAAACTATTACATTATTCACAATAAAACACTTAAGAAAAAAAAAAAGCCAGGTCCTGCCCTCCAGAGTGAGGCCTGGATCGAAAGGGTGTTCAAAACCACCATAGGTAACTCTGACACATGGTCCGTGGTGTAGTAAGAACCTGCATTTTGAAGTAAAATCTATTTTTAATTGTTCTTCTGCCTATTTGCTACTAGAATGGGGGAAATACAGTGCTGTTCCGTGGGTGTATTTTTTTTTTGTTGTTGTTATTATTAAAGTGTACCATTTGCTTCTGATAAAAAAAAAAATAAATAAATAAAGACCCAAGCCATAGTACTTTCAACTGCCTCATATGCATGTGAAAGCTGGACAATGAACAAGGAAGACACTCAATAAAGAACTGATGCATTTGAATTACGGTATTGGAGGAGAATATTAAAAGTATCATAGACTGCCAGAACAAATAAATCTATTTTAGAAGAGGTATAACCAGAATGCATCTTAAAAGCCAAGATGGCCAGACTTCGTCTCTACTACTTCAGACATATTACCAGGAGGGACCAGCTACTATAGTAAAACGAGTGGTGTATATGAAAACTTAATGACACAGGGAAATGCTGATAATGTCTGCAAAGTGAGACCATTTTAAAAGACACGTTACAAAACAACACTACACAGGTATATGCTAATGTGGTGAATGAAGTAGTACTATTTTCTGAGAGACTAAGGGTATACAGCAAAATACAAACAGTGGTGATCAATGGTGGAAGAGTATAGATGATTTTACTTTCTTTTGTTACACATATTTTATAAAAGCTCTATAATGAGTACCTAATATTTCTCTGTTTTGAAAAACAAACCATGTTAAAAAAAATTTTTGAAGAAAGATGAAATAGAGCTTAGTAAGGGTTAGATAGGAGCTCTGGTAGTGTAGTGGTAACCAATAGGGCTGCGAACCGCAAGGTCAGCAGTTTGAAACTACCAGCTGCTCCATGGGAGAAAGATGAGGGTTTCTGCTCCTGTAAAGATTTACAGCCTTGGAAACCCTGTTCAGAATTGTTGCTATGGGTCGGAACCGACTCGACGGCACTTAACAACAAGGGTTAGATATCCTTTCAAAGGTAAAGGTTCCTACTTCTCAGTGATCCTAAACAATTTTCTTAAATGTTTTACCTTCTCTGCATTTGAAATTCTACCATTGGTTATGTGCTGTACAGGGTTTCAAGGCTGTAAATCTTTATGGGAACATAAAGCCTCATCTTTCTCCTGCGGAACAGCTGGTAGTTTCGAACTGCTGACCTTGAGGTCAGCAGCCTGACTTGTACACAATATGCAGTCTACCATTAACAACGTATTTAAAAAGTTCAAATACCTCTGAGCCCCAAAGGTTTTCCAGTTACTTATACATTAACATGAATTGGTTTAATCAAATCACTTCCTTGCTAGGCTTAGGTAAGACTACCAACTCAGAGACAAACAGGATGTCTGACCATGGGCACAAAGGCAGTATTTGAGCATGGAACAATCAGTAGTGTGGGGATAAGGACTGTATGATGAAAGGAAGAGTCTGGCGGAATGAGTGGGAAAGGAAGCATGTAAATACAGCTGGGAAAACCCCAAGGTATGCCTTCTCAGAACTGTGCTCAAGGTAAGCCCTGTGCTGAAAATGACACACACTTGAAGCAGTACTTTTAATACTTAATTCTGGGAAGCAGTCTGAGAAATATCACTCCACTTGCAAAGATAAACAGTAAAACAATCTGCTTCATGTATGTTCTTAATCTGCACTTTTAGTTTCCTCATTTGTAGAACAGAACTACGGGCCAAGCATGGGGGACAGAGGAGTGGCAAAGCCATTTTACAATGTGCTGTGGTGCAGTGAATTATTAGGTAGGGCTCTTCTAGCCACGGTCTTCGTAACTGCCAGCAAGTGACTGGGTGGGAGCATGCAGATGGGGGCATGGAACTCCCACGTGGGAATTAGTCAGTTTTGCCATCTCACTGGGTATAAAATGAGTCATCTCAGAACCATTAAGAAAGAAGAACCAGAACTGAGGTGCATCCTTTGAATCCCAAGATCCTTGCGTGCCAAATCGCCCTGATCCTAGAGAGCAGAGAAGCAGTAGCAGCAGCACCAAGTACATGACAGGGAGCGGTGGGCTTCTGAGTCCACAGGGAAGGGTGCTTGTTTGTGTATGGGTTGCCTCCAGGCACTTCATGGGGGGAGGAGAGAGCTAAAGCTGCTGGTGTCTTTAGTTGAGGCTTATGACAAGTGGAGTTTGAGCATTTATGGCAGTGCTAAAAGAACTTTGTAACATTTCCTGAGCAGGGCAGAGGTCAATGGGCTTAAGACAGAGAGAGGCATGTTTGCAGGCATGGCTATAAAGAGGCACTTGTGACCGAAGAACTATAGCTTGAACATTTCTGATTCTGAATTGTAACCTAATCGGCCCTAATTGACCCCATACCCATAATCATGAGTATGGTCTGTGAGCTGTGTGTGACCACTGAAATGGCTCATCCAACACAGGAGGAAGTAGAAGGCGACAAGAGGAACGGCTGATACCAGAATTGGTAAACAAGGCTGGAGGGCCGCAAGAAGTCTGACTTTGGTCTCATAGGAATCAGCGTTAGGCTGACGTTGAGCTTGATTCTCCCTGTCCCTTGTGAAGCCACAGGAGGCCAGATGCTGCCTCCCAAGACATGTATGCATGCACCTTTAGGTTTATACCAGGTTTTAGGTTCTATGGTTTTCCTGAAGTAGTACTTACTGTATCTCCTAGCCTCATTAATAGCTGCTGTAACACCAAAAGATCTCGGCAGATCAGGAAACGAGTACTGGCAATTTTACACACACCTCTGCACACAATATGCGCTGCGGTGCCACTACCATAGAGCTGGGAAAGATTCAGGCGCACATTCAACGGTTGAGCTGTAGTTAGAAACAATAATAAAAAACAGTTAAATGCATCACTGTTGACTCTAAATCAAAGAGGCCCATTTGCTATTTTGTCATTTACCTGGATTGAATCCCTTTTCCATCTCTACTTCCGTCTCATAATCCATTTCCCGTATAAGAAGTCCAATGGCATGGACTGGATTCTTAATCTCCTGCAGTTTACTACAAATATCTTCCATCACATTTTCTCTATAAGAACAATCAGAAAACTCCTATTATAACCAAGAATACATAAGACAGGCTCTATGTATCCTATAAACTAAGTGCTTAGTGAAATAGGACTATCAGCTACATAATGAAAGTGCTATATTGTTAAAAGCTGAGATTAAAAGCTATGGATACTTTTACTGCTCATAGTAAACTTACCAAATTTTCAGAAACGAAAGACAAAATGAATGTAAGAAAAACACTTTTACTACTTTTCAAGATGTACAGTCAGTTAGTTGTTAGTAAGTAGTGTTTCACGAGTCTATTCCCTGACTTGAGGCAAGTGCTAGACTTTCTGTTTAAAAGCTGCAACATTTACTTAGAATCCTAGCAACACACTTGAACTTCAAGTCCCTGCTTGCCACATAACATAACTGAATACACATGAACCGCCTGAGTCTGTCCCTGGAAATTGCTGAGTTTCTGTTACGAAATGCACTTTACCCTAAATTCTCCTTACACATCAATAGTGACCAAATCTTCCAGAATCTGTTCTGCAGCCTTTTCTGGAGACTGTAGGTTGTAACAACTCATCTCCATCATAACTGACATATCCATAGTTATTGACTCGCTGATCAGCCGCAGGCACTTGATAAGACATATGACATCCCGAGCCACATCCACATCTGAGGAAGAGAAAGTTCACATTCAGGTCACCAGTCAATGAAGATCGACTGTGGACCACTTCATTAGAATAAAAGATCATTAAGTCCGAGATGCTTAGGACTGTAACTTTTCTTTAAAATATCTACCATATAGTAAACTGATCACAAAGATTGGAGTGACTATCAATGTATGTATGTTTGCTTCTTAAAGCAACAATTTGTGTTTTTGGTTAGAATTTTGCAAATCAAATTAGATTCCCATTTAAAAACAACTACACAAATTGTTACCACTCATCTGTCAGTTTGTCGTGTAGTGGTGGCTATATGTTGCTGTGATTCTGGAAGTTACACCATGTGTACTTTAAATCAGCCGGGTCACCACGGTGGACAGGTTTCAGCTGAGCTTTCAGATTAAGACAGACAGGAAGAAGAGGTGGACTACTTCTGAATGTTTAGTCACTGAAAATCTTCATGAATAATGGTGAAAAACTGTTAGATAGCTCCAGAATATTGATACATTACGAATTATACCAGAATATTATCAGATATAGTGCTGGAAGATGAGCCCTTCAGGTTGGAAGGCACTCAAATGCGACTGGTGAAGAGCTGCCCGCTCAAAGTAGAGTTGACCGTGATGATGCGAATGGAATAAAGCTTTCAGGACCTTCATTTGTTGATTGGGCACAACTCAAAATGAGAGGAAACAGCTGCAAACATACATTAATAATCAGAATATAGAATAAAGCACGAATTTAAGAAAATCAGAAATTGTCAAAAAATGAAACAGAATGTGTAAAGATCCCTATGCTAAGCATTAGTGAGCTGAAATGGATTGGTCTTGGCCTTTTAGAATCTGACAATCACATGTTTTACTATGCTAGGAATGACAAATTCAAGAGGAATGGTGCTGTATTTATCATAAAAAAGAACATTTCAACATCTATCTTGAAGCATAATGCTGTCTATGATAGGAAAATATCCATATGCCTATTAGGAAGACAATTAATATCACTGTTATTCAAATTTACACACTAACCAATAAAGCCAGTGATTATGAAACAGAAGAATTTTACCAACTTCTTCAATCTGAAACTGATCAAACATGCAATCAAGATGTACTGATATTTACTGGTACTAGAATGCAAAGGTTGGAAACAAAGATGATCAGTAGCTGGAAAATATAGCCTTGGTGATAGAAACGAATCTGGAGATCACGTGATAGAATTTTTCAAGGTCAATGACTAATTCGGGCTGAAGCTGAAGAAAATGAAAACAAGTCTATGAGAGTCAAAATATCCCACCTGAATTCAGACATCATCTCAAGAAGAAATTTAATGCGTTAGACACTAAAGACCGAAGACCAGAAGAGCTGTAGGATGACATTAAGAACATCATACAGGAAGACAGTAAAAGGTCATTAAGAACACAAGAAAGAGAAGATCAAAATGGATGTCAGAAGATACTGAAATTTGCTCTCCAGCATAGAGAAGCTAAATCAAACAGAAGATGTTTAACCATTTCAAGAGATAACATATGATCAAAAGCCAATGGTACTGAAGGAAGAAGTCCAAGGTGTACACTGAAGGCACTGGTAAAGAATAAGACTCTGGGAATCGATGGAATACAAATGGAAATCTTGCAGCAAACTGATGCATCACAGGAGGCACTCACTTATCTATGCCAAGAAATCTGGCATATAGCAACCTGGCCAATACGGCAACCTAATTGGAAGAGATCCAGATTTGTGCCCATTCCAAAGAGAGGTGACCTAATGGAATGTGGAAACCATCAGACAATATCATGAATATCACATGCAAGTAAAATCTTGCTAAAGACAATTTAAAACTGGCTGCAGTTGTATATTGACAGAGAAATGTCAGAGGTTCAAGCTGGATTTAGACTACGACATGGAACAAAGGATATCACTGCTGACAACAGATGGATCTTGTCTGAAAGCAGAGAATACCAGAAAGATGTTTACCTGTGTTTTATTGACTATGCAACAGCTTTCGACTGTGTGTATCATGACAAGCTATGGATAACATGTGCTCATGAGAAATCTATGTATGCCAAAAAGCAGTTGTTTGACAGGAACCAGACAAGGATGCCCTTTGTCACCACTCCTATTCAATATTGTGCTGGAAGTCTTAGCAAGAGCTATACGGCAAGACAGGGACATTAAAGGCATCCAAACTGGCAAAGAGGAAGTAAAACTCTCCCTATTTGCAGATGATATGATCCTATATGTAGAAAACCCCAAAGACTCAGTAAAAAAGCTACTAGACCTCATT